CTCCATCGACGCTTCTGCTGCAGCCAGCGGCGCAGCCGCGTCTGCTCTGCTCTCCGGAGTCACAGGGAAGCCAGAGGAAATGCACCCAGTGTCCTTCTCTCCAAGGACATGCAGAAGGTCTGAGGAAGCGCAGCCAGCGTCTTGCCTTTCATCCGTGATTCTTGTTTTTTGATCATCCACCTTTGCTAGAGTAGAAAGGGAAACTTCATCCTTTTTTGATTTGATGTCCTGTATAACTGATTGATCCAAAGAAAGCCGTTTACCCGTCTCCTTCTCATCCCAGGAACCAGTCTCTTTGGTTTTATCATCCTCTTTCATTGAAACGTCCTTTCTAGGCTCTTCATGGCCCAGACTGATCGGATGCTCATAAGATTTCTGTTCATGTATCTCCTCCTTATCACCAGATCCAGGCCCTCTGCTGCTGTTCTCTGATACCACTCCAGAAGACGGGAGCGCCTTACCTCCTGCATCCTTTTCCATTTCCTTTAGGAGGCCAGAAGAAACATTGCCAGGTCCTTCAGGGCTAACTCCTGCTGCCTGAGCAAAGGAGTCAAAGCAGCTCCCCTCAGTATCCCAGGGCATCTGAGGGCCAAGGGGGAAGTTCTTAATATTTCTGTTTTCATCTACAAAATCCATTTCTTCCATCCCATAGTCCATCTCTGATGCCATGGGAGGCTGCACTTTACTCCTGCTAATTTTTGTCTCTAGAGAGACAGGCTGCTCAGAGGCATTTTTAGCTTTTTTACTTCTTCCATCACTGCCCTTCTTTTTAGATCTATCAGGTTCTGGGGCCAAACTGCGATCCGCCACTGGGGAGGTGGAGTTTAGAGCTGGATGCTCTAAACCAGGGAGTCCAGCCATGCTGCTACAGCGAGTGGAGCTTTCCGCCTTGGATCCGTCAGCTCTCTCCGTGTTGCCGGTAGGAAACATCGCTCCACCTGCGTTAGGTTCCAAGAGAAACATCTGCTCCAAGCTAGCCTCCATCTTCCTGCATTTCTCTTTATTGCTTGTGCTTGATTTTTCTGGCTCCAGAGGTTTAGCAGAAGCTTGTACATTGGCAGTATCAGCCAGGCCACCTAGCAGACTCACTGAAACAGTGAAATTATTCTCGTTGCCTTTATCAGGAGACTGAGCTTCCGTAATATTTCCCACCTCTTCAACTGCTGCAGGGATTTTAACTAGACCCAGTGCGACAGGGCGCTCAAGACTGTTTTCAGTCTTTTTGCCTTTCACATCTCTACCCTTATTCCTAGGCTTGTCTGTCAGCGGTTCTCTGGTGAGGCTATGTGCCTCAGCTCCACCGGTCCTGCTCTCCGGGAGAGGCTCTGATGCATTCATGTCCCTTTCCTTACCTTTGCTAGCGGGCCAAGTTTCTTTAGTTTTGACCATTTCTGGCTTTGCTGTCTCTATTTTATGACCTGAAAGAACCATCTGATTAGAGAAGCTAGTTCTATCGCCACCCTGCGTTTCAGGCTTTTCCAGCGCCTCTTTGGTTGTACCTGTCAGATTCTCCAGCGAGAGGGCTCCTTCAAAATGGGATTTTTTATCTTTATCAAAGGCCATTTCTTTTGCGTTTCCAGCCACCTCCTCTTTGCTCAGAAGATTACTTGCTTCCACCCTAGTCTCCAGGACAGCAGGCTGCCCAAAAGGACTCTTTTCACTTTTTTTTCTTTTCCCATCACTACACCTCTTTCTAGGTTTGTCTGCCAACGTTGCACTAGAATCTGGCATAACCAGTTCACCTGGAGAAGCAAATCCAACCTCTTTGCCTTTATTCATCAAATTTACCTCCTCCGTCTTGCTGACCGTGTCACCCATAACAAGACACTTTGCTTCATCTGTCCTACCCCCCACCAGTAACGGCTGGTCTAAAGCGCCCAAATGAGCCATTTCACTTTTTCCAACGTTTTGTTTAGGCTCCTCAGTCACCAGTTCAGCGAGACTTTGCGTTTTAGCTGCCTCTGACACGTTTTCCTGAAAACACTCAGCCGTAAGACAGCCTCTCTCCCCGCCTTTATCGCTAACACTTATTTCTTTAGATTTGTCGATTATGTCAGGAGAACTACTTACGTCCCTCTTGCTCTCGAAAAGAAAAGGCTGCTGGAAAAAACTTTTTTCACTTTTTTTACTTTTTCCATCGCTACCTCTTTTTTTTGGTTTGTCTGCTGCTTTTGCAGTATCACTATGTGTAACGTTTGCTGATGGATATCCTCTTGTAGTAAAAGCAGCCTCTCTGCCTTTCTCAGGGAAAGCCGTTTCTTTCGTCTCATCTGTCTTCGCTCCACCAGTAAGTTTGCTTACATCCTCCAAAACAGTTATCTGCTCGGGGAAATTTTTAATTTTTTTGACTTTCCCTTCACTACGCTTTTTTTTAGGTTTGTCCATCCCCTGTACAATATTGGGGTCTTTTGCAGTCTGATGCTCTAACGCAGTAAATCCAGGCTCTTTGTTTTTGTCAGGGGAATCTGCTACTATAACTCCATGAACGGCTTCAGCAGAGGTAGGATAGTTAGCTGTGTCAAACTTAGCTGCCAGAAGTAACGTCTGCTCTGAAAATCTGTCAGCTTTTCTGTTTTTCGAATCAGTAACTTCCCCAGGTTTTGGTACAACTAACGGTGTAACAGACATTTTATTAGCATCTGTTGTGGTCTTCAGTACTCCTTCTGAAGTACTGAAGTTGACCTCTGTGCACTTATCAGGGGAGACTGTTTCAGTTTTGTCAGCTGCTTTGGGCTCGTCAGAAAGTTTGTCTATTGGGGCCCTAGCCTCTAGAAGATCGGGCTGCTTGAAGGATTCGTTTTCAGCCTCTTTGCTCTTTTCACTACCTCTTTTCTTTGCTTTTTCTTCCAATGACCCAATGGAAGCCTGAAGCTCAGTGGGGACAGTGAACGTTTCATGCTTGGGAGATGCGCGCTCAGTCTCCTTACCTTCATCAGAAGGGGGAATTTCTGAAGGTTTGGTGTTTAAAGGAGTTTCTACTCTGCTTAGATTGATCTCTTCCGAAAGAGATGCCTTCAGGTCTGAACGGTCTGGCTCCTTATACTCCCTCTTTTGGTTTTTATCAAGATGACTTATTTCCACAGGCTTGGTCAGCATCTTTGCTCTAACAGGTTCCCCCACCTTCGTCTTGTCTGCCTTGTCCATCTGCTCCAAGGGAACCGGTTTTATTTTGCCTTTAGATTGCAACAAACTGTCATCTCTCATTTCTTCTGCTTTCATGAAGTCTCCATTTTTTGCATCCAATACAGACTCCAACAGCGTGTCATTTTTTTGGGCCTGCTGTCTGGGTGCTGGCATTGGGAAGGCATTTTGATCATCCAAGATGAGATTTCCAGTTGTTATTCTCGCATCCTTTGGCATATCTGAAGCTCTGTTCCCTGAGGCAATTAACTGCTCTTTGCGAGTTTCTGCAGGCAAGACGGTACGGACAACTGGTTTTTGCAGTTCAACAGCAAAAGGAGAACTTTTAGGAGCTTGGGAGATTGCAGTATTCTCATCCCAGAACTCCATTGTTCTTGGCTGCTGATTTCTCTTTTGTTTTGGTTTCTTTTTCTTTTTCTTCACAATGACTGGAGAACCTTCCAAATCCCAGCTCTCCCTTGGCACGTCTCTGCAGCTCTCCGCAAACTCTGACAGCACACTGGATGGCTGCTCAGCTGCCTTTTTATGGGAAGCCCTAGTGCGAGGGGATGTTCCAGTAACACATCCAAGCTCTGCTACAGAATAGGGATCTACTTTTGGGTCAGGACTCTTCTGTTGTGGGAGGCCTATTAGACGTTCCTCTGGCACATCTGCAATAGGCACTGCTGCAGGTTTTGCTCTGCCAAACCTGCCTTCACTTGATTTGTTAGCTTGCCTTAATTGTGCAGTAGGTAGACCTGGAATACAGGAAGCCTGCTCAAATATCAAAGCAACTATTTGCCTTACAAAAAAAAACCCAAAAAAATGATTTTAGCTATCTAAAACAGTCCATATAATCATAAAAGCAGAACTTTCAGCGCTGATACTACACTAACTCTAAATCCACCTCAGTGGTGCTGCGATAGAAATTTACACCTAGAATCTATTTAAAGTATTGCTGATAAATAAGTCAACGTTATTTCAAGATTACTTGATACATGCTGTTACCCCACCAGAAAGGGATTGTTCTTGCAAGGACACATTATCTGTGTTTCTAAAGCGTTAAGGATCCATTTTGTCTTAGCAAGACAAAATAACAGATGCATTTTTTCACATCCCTTTACTTTGGCAACTTTCCAAAATGAGAAAATAAAAGTTTAGTGGACAGATGAGACTGGGGAAGGGAGGACGGCTATAACGGGGGATAGGGGCGTGACAGCTAAGTTTCCCTCAGTACCCAAAAAGCAGTGCAAGGTAAAACCTCCAAGAAGTCATTTGCTGTACTCAGTTATATGCAGCACTAGTTTCCTTAGCTACAAGTCACTGATTTTAAAGAGAGCATCAGTCATTTGTCAGTTAGCCCCGGCCCACAAATCAGCCTCCAGTCAGAAACGTAAGCAATACTAGCTCATTGGAGAGGCTGGGTTAGTGGAGCAGGAAGAAAATTACATTTTCCTTTGGTAATTAGACAACTCAGTTTGGAAGGAGGTCTTTACTGAGAATATTTTAATCAGAATTAATGGTCCTTTTTAATACCACAATAAAAAATTGTGCAGTAAATGGCAAAAAAGATGTTGAGGTTTTAAATCCTACAGCAGAAAAGATATAAGCCAGTCCCAGTGATAAAATAATAGTAGCACCCATATTTGGACTTTTAGTCCTGTGAACAAGGAAAGGTGGGGGGGGGGAAAAAACTGTTTAAGAGGGCAGGAATCAGAGGCAAAGTGTGAGCAGAATCACTGTGACGAATGCAAAGAACAGCACAGCTGCTTGGTGAAAAAGAGATCTTTGCTTGCTTAAGTGGCAATGCAGTCAGGAGGAGGTGAACGGTTCCCAGGGGCTATTTCCATTCTAAAACTCAATTATTATCTGTATTCTACCTGTAGTCTCTTGCAGGATTTTTTCTTGCTGGGGTTCTGCGTGTTGGACATGGTTATGTTCAGCCTCGTCCTTTGGTTTCTCTGTAACAGTAAGGTCCGTGGTAGTAAGAGGTTCTTCTGGAAGCAGTTCTTTATTTTCTAGTGCCCCGGCTTCTTTTGCTTCTACTGGAGCTGAACAGAAACATGAAAAAAATAAATAGAATGCTTCAGCTCTTACATATACGTTATCAATACAGGTAATCAGTACTTCAATACAGGTAATCAGTACAAGTAATGTACTTGTAATTAAAAGGTAATCAGATACAAGTACCTGTATCAATACAGGTAATCAGTACAAGAGCAAGCTTTTGGAAAGGGTATAAGTTTTTGTTTGGTTTTTGTTTCAAATAGGGATGAGGGTTACAAGATTTGGTAGTCTACCACGTATTATCTCCTCATAATCTCATTTTGCACAGCAGTTTTATGTTTTGGCTAACATGCCAAGGTAGAAGTAAAACATGAAACCAAGACTATCTTGGTGCTTATATATAGGGCGAGGGTTTTTTTCTTTCTTTACAGTCAACTGATTTCAGACCATACTAGCTTCCCAATGGAGTTCAAATGCAAAATATACGTCATTGTCAGTCTGGAGTCACCATCTAATATTAATTATTATCTAATATTCAAATATACCTTAGAGGCGGTCTCCTAGAAGGACTCATACTCTACAAAATTCTCAGCTACATATAGTTATATCTTATGAACTTAAACTTATTATGTTGGAGATCAGTGTGATTTTCTTTAAATTTAAATAAAATTAACTATATTATAAACAAAGGCTGTGACAGACATCATAATAAGTTACAACTAATAAAACTAGTTAAAAAATAATAAAATACAACTATGGATGAAGAAGAAACAAAGACAAGTTATATGATGGGAGCTTCAAAAGTTAAGGCTACCACACATCTTAAACGCAGCCCTCGCAGTAGCACATGCTTATAACTTCCTTCAAATTAAGTCTTTTTTGCTTTGTCCTCGATGAGGACAGGAGAGGACTGTCTGCAAGCAAGATGATTTGGGGGGTGGGGAAGAATTAGGTGATAGCTAAGTGGTGGCTCCAGTACCGTAGTTCTCATTTCTCACCTGCTGGTTCTAGAAGATGGTCTGCTTTTTCTGGAAGATGCTCTGCATGGTGGCTAGGAGGTGATCCAATGTCTTTGGCTTTCTCTAAGGGAAGCTCAGCACAAGCTTCTGGGACCTTCAACTCTTGTTCCATGTTTGCAGCTGCTTCTAAAAACAAAATGAAAAGAACAAAAGTAGAAGTTCACATAATATTTAATTTAGATCAGATTAAGCAAGATAAAACCACTTCCGTACCTAATCCATCTTTCCCACAAAAAATTAAAGGTCTTCATAACAGCGATAACCCGCTTTTTAGGATCACTTTCTGCCAATCCTCCCCTCCTGAAAGCATAAGTGTTCTGCTAAAGCAAATCCCCTGCTACTGTCTGGTATCTACTTTCTCCTTCTCCCACCTATGTCTCTGAGTTGCTACACTCTAGTAGGTGTTTTTGTTGTTGTTGTTAAAATTCCTCTACTTTGAAGTTTATTCCTTTCATTAAACCCAACAGCATCAGAAGGTAACAAAGAAAAAAAAAAAAAGCTTATTACATATCTCTCTGCAATCAGTCAACATCCTGGGTCTCCCCAGTGCTATCTGTTATATTTTGACTGCTCCTCTCAAAAACGATGGTCTCTTTTGAGACATCTGTGCAGCGCAGAAAATGCCTTGTCCACCACAAGGGAAAAAACCAAAGTGCCCCGCCTCCCCCTTGACTTTAATAGCCATTCCAACAAAACTACCAGAGCCTATCAGTCTACTCAGAGACCATTTTCAGATAAGAAGTTTTGTTCAGTATACTGGGGAAAATTATGATACAAAAGTAAACGCTACCAGGGATGAACTAAAATGCTTCTGTGGCTGTCTTTAAAATACACAGCTCTAAAGAATGCCAAGTCCTAAAAACAAGCATTAACTTATTCTAGTTTCACATTTTAGAAATGAAAAATCCTTGTGAAGCAATTCCTTTGTCTGTACCTTGACAGCAGAGCTGAGCTCTACTCAAGAAGTTTAGTGCAAGGCATATCATAATCTCCACTATTCAAAAAAAGTTGTTTTGACAGCCTTACTAGGATTGCACATCTCTAGCAGTCACTACGTGCTACCAGGGGTGTTGTTGCTAGTGCTATGCCAACTTCTACCGGCCTTCGCACACCAGTTACTATAGTACTCCAAGTCTGAATGAAGCTTTCAGGCAGATATACAAACAGCTGATCACCTGCTGGAGGCTTGCTGAAGGGTGACTTGTCTTGCTCTACAGAAGACTCGGATGTCATCAGCTCTTCAAACGCAGTAACTTCAGTGTCAGCTGCAGGGACAGACTTCACTTCTGGCACAGAGGCAAACCCAGCATCCATGGCAGAAAAAGCCTTAGCTTCTGCTACAGGGGCAAATCCAGAGTCCATAGTGTGAAGATGGTTGGCTTCTACTGCAGGGGCAAACTCTGCATCTTCTGCTGGGGCAAACTCCAAATCCATAGCATGATGAGATGTAGTATGTGCTGCTGGGGCAAACGCTGAATCCATAGCGTGAGGGGACGCAGTGTTTGCTGCTGGGGCAGACTCTGCATCTTCTGCTGGGGAAAACTGCAAATCCATAGCGTGATGAGACTTGGTATCTCCTGGTGGGGCAAACTCCAAATCCATAGCATGATGAGACTTGGTATCGGCGGCTGGGGCAAACCCAGCATCTGCCACTGGGGCAAATGCAGCATCCATAGCATTGGGAGACATGGCTTCCACCGCAGGAGCAAACCCACTATCCACAGCATGGCAAGGCAGGGCTTCTGCTGAAGGGGCAAAATCAGCCTCCAACGCTTGAGGAGGCTTGGTATCTCCCGCAAGAATGGACCCGGCTTTTTCCGCAGACGTGGACACAACATCCAAGGCAGGAGCACACTCGGCATCTGCTACAGAAAGACTCATTGCAGCAAACAACAACAACAACGAAGAACGTAAATACTTGACATTGTGGTCTTATAAATGCAGAAGACAGGGCCGTCCCTCCCCCTCTAGTCTTTCAGCAGCTTTTACTTTTCTCCTCTTATGCCAGTGTACTCGAGTCTCAGTGGTCACGAGACGCACGCTTCAACTCACTCAACTGCATCTCCAATCGCAGCTTCGTATGCCGCGTTTTGTATTCTTGACTTGTGTTAGACATCCACCTGCTCCTCACACATCAGCCACAAGCTGCACTGCTATTGTTTAAAGACCACCTGATGCAACAAAGGCGGCAGGAGACCACAGCTATTCCATCCACCGTGAGCAGCACATTCCAACATACTACACACAGAAATTACAATGACTTTTTTCCCCTATGTAGCAGAATACAAAAACATTGGGGGTCACTTTTATGACCGCAGCTACGTATTCCAACAGCTGAAAAAGGCCCTGAAACTTTCCACGGCCACGTGCACTTTATCTTAATCATTTGTGCTGTTCATGAGCAGTATGCTGTTTTAACTTGAGCAGAAGCAGTGGCACTCCTAATACAAGAGACATTGCCAGCCAATGAATCACCAACTAGCCTTTACTCTTTCATGTCCAAATTGGCCTCATTACTCTCTTAAATAATATCTACTAAAAGTTGAGCTGTTAACTTCAAAATAACATTTGCCAGTACACAGTATAAACAAATATCCATGATATTGATGTTTTTGTAAGAGCTGAACCCCTTAAAGGAGTCATTTCAGTCAGCTTTAGTCCCAAATTTCAACTGTCTAAAGGGAAGATTTTATGAATTATCAAAAACTAGAAGCACTAGATTTCTCTCTTCTGCAGCTATTATAGTTTCAACACCCCCGAGCACTGTCTATACTCTGTGCAATGCAGCGTGGTGACCTGAACATCTCAAATATAAAGTTGAACAGACATTAAAAAATAAAATCTCTAGTCACTATGAGTCACATCTAAAAACATATTCCCATCTCAAACAATGGAAAACACTGAATTCAAAATTAGGTATTTAATAAATTGGAAAAAATGAAAGGAAAAAATAGAAAAAGTCCCTTTTAAAATAGCATGTCAGAATCCATTCAGATAAAAGGAATATTCCATGGAAAAACAACAACAAGAATCAATTCTGCATTAACTTTATTTTTTTTTTTTAAAGTGGTATCTATCATGATCCTCCCCAAAATTAAAGATTGTGATTTTTACAGGAGAATAAAGATAGTAAAGAGAGATATAGTATTAAGACACAAACAGTGTGGATGATCCACAGTGACTCATAATGAATATCAGAATAAAGGATGAAGTTACTACACAACTAAGACTGGTGGCAAAGTATACTATGACTCTCATGCTATAACATGGATACATTTAAAACAGAAAGTACTAGTTATTAACAAGGATAACCACGTGTCTTGACACTTCCTAACATTTTCTGCGGCTGAAATTCTGAGAAAGTAAAGAACTGTTAAATCAGTTTCTGGACTCCAGCACAGGAGTTGAGAAGTGTAATAGATGCGCTATTTCTCACCAATGCAATTCATCTACCTACTACGAACCTTAAGCCACAATGAAACGTGTTAATACCTTGCTGTACTTTCTTCAGAAGAGAGAATCCCACATCTTTCCACGACTGCTACTTGCTCATGAAGGGGCTAAGACCAGCAATGACCTTTAGATGAGGGCAACTTTACCTGATGCTGCACCTTGTGATGCATCAGTAGGTTCAGCCTCTCCTGGGGACGCTGTTAATACAGTAGGATCAAAAGCAGGAGCCACTGCTGCAGGGCTTTCCGGCAAATGCGGCTTTTTTGCTTCAGGCTCTGTGGGTGGCACTGGGCATACAAACAGAAGTTTGATCAAGCACAAGGAAAGATCTTTAGCAATAGATTTATCCTCTGGAGTAGCCGAGATGTGAATCGCCCTCTCCAGGTGCTGCTCTCTCTCAACGGCGACTGCAGCAGCAACCCTGATGAGTAAACTCCCCCACCTGGGCATCCCAAGTAGGTAGGACAAAAAGCAGAATCTGCTTATATTATCAATTTTCAGAAAATGAATTTGTGCAAGACCTAAGATGACACTTCTATCCTGAGCAAAGTAACTGCCATAACAATGCTGAAGAACATTTAGTTGTGAAATATCACAGTTCCACCCTGAGCTCTGGTCAGAGGCACCAGCTCCAGAACCAGTTCCTACCTAGGACCAGGGTCAAATTCATCTCTTCCTGGCTTCTTCACCAAGATTAGCAACAATGATACCATTGTGGGTCAAATATCATAATATACATGCAACTACAACATAGTTATGTCCTTAGTGAGTGAAGCTTCAAAAAATTTAATTGCAATCAGCATTTAAAGATAATTGGACAGAGTACACAGCTTTGTAATTAGAATTTAATTTAAAATTCTGTTGATTATGCATGAGCCAAAATTATGTTTGTTGCTTCCCTGACCCTTAAAAGGAGTAAGCACAAGTGACGCAACTTATCATGGAAATCAGCAGATTTGTCTCTCGACGTGTACAAAGACTGGAATCTCTGAGAGTAATAAAGCTCTAGCTTTACAGAGCTCCTTTTCAAGAGTAAATCCCATTCATGCCATTTATTATTTTAGTGTCAAGTAACACCTGAACACACATCCCTACTGGAACTTACAGTACTTTCACTGGTACACAAGAATACACAGAATGGAAACGCAATCTGCAATCCATAAAGTTTGTTGTTGAACATAGCTTTTTTGCACACTTCTACAGCTGCAAGCTTCATTCCCCCAAACTCATGAAAGAGTATATTTTCAGCAGGCTACAGTCCTGGCTACAAGACATGCCCCTAAAAGGGCATGTCACTAATAATCTGCTGATGGTTGGGCTTCAAACCGCATACAGCTGTCATGACTAGGATATATGGCTATTTTATTTGGAGAATTTTACTATTTTGAGATAGCCTAATAATATTAACAGTGTCATTATTAAATTTCTTATCCTTAATTAGAAGTAAACAGTCTATATAAATGCAAGGTTCCCCCTATCTCCCAGCACACACTTCAAGCCTAATTAATGCTCTAAGCAACATATCCCTAAAATACACATTTTCTAAGGGAAAGTGATTTGAGAACCGGAAAGAATAGTTGTTCTTGATCAGGTTCCAGATCACTCCGATAGTGCCTTTTCTTTCTTGAAAAGAGAGACAAGGACAGAATCTGCTTCCAGTGTTCAGAAAGTCTCCAGAAACACTTCCTGCAAATCAAGTCCGAACTATTTTTACCTGGTGGCTCAAAGAAAGCAGCATCTGGCCCCCTTGCAGCATGCTGAGCTCCCATCCAGTGTTCTTCAGGCACTATGGAAAGAAGCACACGTTTAGTTCTGCCACGGAAACTAAGACTGATTCATTTTTTCAGCACGTCTTTGCTCAAGGTATCGACTCGGCTGTTTTGGGATTTCATTCTTGGCTAACTGATCAGTTCACTTTCAGAATGGCACCAGAACATGTTCTCATGTGATTATTATTGGTAAAAGCTTCCATCAGAGAAGAGCTGTAACCAGCACTAACCCCAAGATCCAACAGAGCATGTTCTTTGCTCAATAGCATATTCCTCTCCTGTTCATCTCCATTGTCTTCCTTCAGAAAATCCATATTGATTAAAAACTGTCCTTTCCAATAGGATACTTTCTCATCTTGACTAATTTTATGCAATAACCCCTCCCAGCAACGGTTCTTTAGGACTAGCACACCAAGATTGTCCATCTGCATAGTCTTTGAATCCAACTAGTAAGTAGGACAACAATAGCAAAACACCTGTTTCTCACCTGCTGTGTCTTGCAGATATTCTGCAGCTGAATCCAGGCCGATAAAGGCTGATGGGTCTAGAACTTCTGCCGGACAATACGGGGAGCCCAGGAAAGGTTGATCAGGTACCATCATAGACGCATGTGGCGCTAATGAAATAAGAGGCCGTTTGTCAGTCACCTAGCCGGCCTTAAAGACTCCCCTCCAAAATTTTTAGTCCATAGCATACTTGGACAATTAACTATTCTGTTCTGCTCACAAACAGTCTACACAAAGTTTGCAAGTACATCTCTCAACTAGTTTACCTTCAAAAATTACATACAATGCACAGTGTAATTAGTATCAAGGTATAAGAGAGTAAACACAGGCAAATGATTTCCCTTTCGCTTCTCGTTCTCCTCCTGTGAATTCTTGTTTGATAACCTCTTCAGGTGAAATAGTCCAAACACTGAAGACCTCTTTGTGGAAAAAGTTCATGTGTATTTGGTTTCTAGCTATACAGACAAGAGTCATCTGTAAACTCTAGCTTCAATTCAACTTTTCTGGATGTCATATCTCCTTCCATTTAAGCATACTTCAAAAAAAACCTTCCTGGAAGTAGCTATTCAATGTCTTTAGGCATAAAGAAGTCATGTGAAGAGAATCTATAGTCTGTGCACTTATCAGTGTAAGAGTTTCAAGTACATGACCTGAAAGTCAGTAGAGAAAATGCTGAAGACTGAACATCAGGGACAAATGCTGCTGAGGAACTCACCATGGATGTCTCTGGAAACTTCAACGTGATCCGTGAACATCGGCACATGCTGCATGTCAGTAGGAAATGTCAGATCAGGCAGGTTCTCCCCTCTGTGCATGCTGAAGGGGTCTGACGGATGACAAAAACGAGGCCTCTGTTACCACACAGGAGGAACAGTGGTGCAAAGCAAGATTATTCAAAAAACAGAGATGAAGATACACCTGACACTGTCACTGCTCCAGAAGCAACAATGGCAGAATGAGGGACTTCGGAGGGAAAGCTGCTTTCAAGATTATTTGTCAAGGTCTTCAAAGTAGACTTTATGCCCAGTAGAAACATGGTTGCTCAAACTAGTTAGCAGGTAGAATTGACTAAAATTTACATTATGGCTGCTGTATGATCTGTCTCCTTCCTTCCACGAAGGACCACTAATTTCTGAACTGCAGGACACATAACCAGCCTGGGTCCAGAACAACGGCTGACCCGCACTCGGTTAACTCAGCAATACCCCGACTGTCCAAAACTGTCAAACTGAGCTCTTCCCGGAGAACAGGGCATCAGCATACATTGACTGCTAGGCTAATATTACATCTAGCATGTTATTTTTATATTATTTTATTATGTCTGTATTATATATTATATAAAATATATAAATTTTACAGTGTGTGTGCATATACGTGTGTGTGTGCATATACATACACTATATATACACACACACACACACATATATAAATTAGTATATAATTATAACAGTATTATATTACATAACACCAACTTATAAGGCAGAGAGGAAAGTAACATAGTTCTCAGCGTCTCAGGCAAACGAGCAGCCCTCGCCCTTAGCTCCAGATCAGACACACTGGTTGGACGGTCAGGACTTCAGGCCACGCTCGCAAGGTGTCCAGTGTCAGCTGTGGTTGGTATAACCTGTGGTAGCTTTGTTCTGCTTTCTGTCTGTGTTTTTAAATGGATCTATCTATGCTGTTTCCAAAAGACAATACTTCAGTAGGGAGAATTCAGCAAGAGAAGAGTCCTCTTCAGCTTTTTGGGTTTTTTGTGCACGTACACGCATCTCCTCTCCCCTCGAGCAATCAGTGTGGTCATTCAAACCAAACGGAGAGAACCACCACGCTGGGTTTTATAAGATGCGTTATTTAACCAAATCGCCACCAGCCAGAGCAGCAGAGAGATGACCTCACTGACTGAATAAAACGAGCAAAGGAAGACCCAGCCACGAGTTACTCACTGCACCTTGAAATATTCAAGGATGAGACACTGCAAAGGGAACAACACATGGCATTCCTCTCGGAAGCAAACGCTCCTCTGGTTTACACACCCCTGCCCGGGTCCGATGATCAATGACCACCCACGCATCTTGCTCGCTGGTGCCAGGTCTACATTACACCCTTCTCCAGGCAGGTGCCAATGGGCAACGAGAAGTTTTGACTCAAGTGACCTCCTGCAGACAAGGGACCTATCTCGTGGTCGTATCTCACATGTTATATTATCCAGGAGTTGGGAACGCTAAACTCCTGAAATGGCTGGCACAACCTGATTTCCAAACATTTGCATAAATTTCTTCAGGTTAAGCACAATTAAAAGGGATTCAGGTCAAGTCTTTCATGTTTACGTCAAGCATACTATTTGAGGGGAAGACACAAAACTCCCAGTGTTTACTCACACACTGGGCTCTGAAACATAGGATCAGGGGAGCTTCAGGAATTCCTTCACAAGTCTCAGAATCGTTTAGGTTGGATGGGACCTCTGGAGATCATCGAGTCCAACCTCCCTGCTCAAGCAGGGACCTCTAGAGCACATTGCCCAGGATCACATCCAGACGGGTTTTGAATATCTCCAGAGAAGGAGACTCCACTACCTCTCTGGGCAACCTGTTCCAATGCTCTGTCACCCTCACAGTGAAGAAGTTTTTTCTCAGGTTTAGGTGGAACTTCCTGTGGTTCAGAAGTCTACCAGACTATTTGAAATGTTAAGACAATGTCCTGCTTTAGTGTGAACTTAAGAAATTTTTACTTCCAAGCTGTTTCAAGCAGTATAACCATGACCAAATAGCTGACTTTTCTTCAATTCAACTAAAACAGCATTATGAAACAGATTTTAAAAAAATCTAAAAGAGATGCTGATGATTCCTCCTCTTTGTCTAGCAGTTTCGTGACTTGGCCAAAATGGGAGACCCACACTAAATTCTGGCTCTGTGACAGAGGGAGAAAAAGGAGAAATGGGGGAAAGGAGGGAGTCCTGGTTCAACTTTTCTCTTCTCCTTCAAAAGATCCTCCACAGACTATGGGTGGCCCATGCCCCTATTTATGTCTTGGCGCTCGTGTGACAGGTAAGCGAGGCCGTTCCCCTAATGACAAGGTAACACTTGCAGCAGAACCCAGCACGACTGAAAAGGCAAAGGCAAGCGGGTAAGGATGAACCGGACACATGGGATGTTGCCGCTTTAGTACGCTATCAGTGCTTGCATTACACGAGCCCTGAGACAATTCTCTACTGTGTCAAAACTTACAGCTGGCTAAGAACATTATGAAGCCAGACAAACGTTAGGAATCTGAGAATATTGTTTCCAGAAAGCCGGAGATGGGATTGACAAAATACTTGTGAAAATTAATTTCTCTTCAGCTTACTTCCATAGACACTCATATCCTTTGCTGTTCACACATAGCTCGAATTTGCCAGTGCTTGTGGACTAATGAGAGCATGTTACTTCAGATCACTAAAGCAGCATCTCCTCATGCTCAGCGACTTTCCTGCAGTTACAGCAATGAATCATGGTATACTTTTGGCTAAGAGCCTTTTGGCACGTTTAAAGCTTGTGAGCGATCAGTTAGCGTTTGAGTTATGCTCACTCTACAGTACAGTAACGTTTTTTAAACAAGTCTTTTTATCATAGGTAGCATGTAAAATATATATGAGATTACGGTCATAACTGTCAGTTTTACCGTGCTGGATCCCACTGCCAGATCCTAACTCAACATTTTTAATATATAACAAAGTCCACAGCAGAGCAGACTCCGACGAACTCTTCTTAACCTGCTCACAGAAACTGCAGAACATTTCTGAAACTGAACTGAGCCGGCATTTACCACGGTCCTCCCCGAGGAACTAGGAATTACAGCAGCGCTGGCTGGGACACCCTAACAGAGCTGACCAGCAAATTCGCTCCTGGAGAGGGAAATTATCCTGCTGTTTTCCAAAGAGCGTGAGCAAAAGTACGCAACAAACCCAAAGACCTATATGAGCCTGCGGGTCACATTTTTCTCCTTCTGGTGTTCTTAAAGCTTGTCTATCCTCTCTGATCCCTCTGCTCAGCTACGTGAACCTAATCTCTGCAGAGCAGCTAGTGTTTGCACAGCGCTGGGAAGAGCGTAGGTACCAAGGAGTACTGCCATACTGAAGCACGCATTGCATCTCATGTGCGTGCACACGCACCAGGTGCTCTAAGGGCACGAAACCTCAAGAAACGTGTTTTTACGCAACGGATGACGCCCAGGTTCACTTCATTTAGGCCAAGAGAATACTGGGTAAAGCCTTAGGTATATGAATTGCTCCTAACAGGCTAGTTTATCATGTGGCTATCGAGCACAGCTACATCTACACCCCATTCTTTCATCTAACAGAACAACGGGGGGAAAAAGCTGCATTTCTGGAAGCAGCGTTTCTTTTGTTCCATTAATCATTTCTTACCATTGTGACAGCATACAGTTTCCTCACAGAATCTCTTTGTAAATGAGATTCAGACAGCAAGAAAGTAATTCAGTAAGCAAATCTATAATGCTAGGGGGAAAAAAAAAAATCTGGTTTCATCCTGTTTCAGCTCAGATCTTTCCCAGTCCTCTTTTCTGTTACAACCTGGGTAGCACATCTCTCTCGCGCGTTCTCAAGAGCTAGCAAATATTTTTCCTATAAATTTTCTCATTAATGAAGATCCTTGCTGGGTGGAAGGGTATCTTTTTGCAAGTACCTACGTGCCAGGTACACAAGGTTCATGTAACTCAAGGGAGCCGGTGGCTGTACAGGACTGCTTTCTGGAACAGACTGCGTGGCACTGCAGATGCAGCAATGCGACAGCTGGGACTAGCACTTCTGAGAGCCTGTGGAAGACTCGTTTGCAGCTGTAAACAACGTGGGCTAGGTCTGCATGGAAAGCCGCAGCACCTGGGAGCGGTTAAACTGTAGGAGACCACCAAAACGACCCCTGTGAGAGCCAAGTCAAAGGGAAATCTGTACACTCACACCCTAAATACTCTAAAACCCTCGACTTGCGGCTCCTTTTTTAACTAGCTAGACCACGCACCAGGACAAGTTAGTAGCTTGAGGTGCTACGTCGTTAACTTCCAGTGTCGAGATGTTACGTGTTTTAGGCCAACAGAGCACCACAGCTCAAAGAACACCAGCATGAGTGCACCGCAGGAGAATAAAACCACCCCTAGGGACAGGCACCAGGACTTTGCCATGTTGCGTAACTGTTAAACTAACTGCTGCGACAACGTTAAGATTTATTCAGTCATACCAGCCATCTCCATGGGCTTGAACACCGGCTGTGGTTCAAAGCACAGGTCTCTGTCATCCATTGTACAGGTGTCACCGCGATCAAAGTAGTCCTTATAAGACAGGTTTTCATCCATGATTTCTCTTGGGAATACTGAAATTAAAGGGAAAAAATGACACAGTCAGAAGCGAGGCACTAAGCTAAAAAATTTACAGCTTATTGCTGTAGGGTATGACAGTCAAAGGGCAACAGACAACACGAGTCGTTAGCCAAGCTAGAGATCGTGAACGTTTCATTTTCTCCTGTTCTAATCCAAATCCTTAAATATAAGAACCAGTAACTGGAATTTCAGCCTCTTGACACGTTTGTAAGGTCGGGACTGGAGAATTCGCACGTCCCCCAGCGCCATCCTCGCTCCAGATGTTGGACAGCCCACGCCAGCAGCTCACAGCCAGCTCTAGGGAGGTTCTCCACGAGCGAGCGGGAGCGGGAGCATCCTCGGGAGCCGGAGCTGGCTCAGCGGGGCCCACCGGCGGGCTGGGGAAGCAGAGCCCTGCCCTCGCCTTTCTGGGCCCTGGATCTGACCGTATCTACGACTGTTACCATCACAGACACGCAATACCCCCAGCAAGGCTTCGTAACTTGGGTTGTCTAGGGAAGATAGAGGCCTCCCAGCAGCCCCCTCCCCGACACGCGCTTAGCAGAGGAGGAAGAAGAAAAACAGGCACTTTGATGAGGACCAGCCCACCCACCGCTATTTTCAGCGCTTCAATTTTCAACCATTTCAACCGAGAACCAGCTGATAACAATCGCCGGCGGGGGGGGATGCACTACGGTGCAAACGCCGCGCTTCCGCTCCCCTCCCAAGAGCGCTGTGCGTGCTGCAGCGGGAGGCAGACGGTGGATCCAAGCCCTGGCGCTTCCGAACACGGCAAACGCAGCGGGAAGGCTCACCGCGAGCGCCCGCTCTCGGGACTTCTCGGCTCATTTTCCAGTTTGAAGGGGGCCTGAATCTGCCAGCTCGGCTACCAATAACACCAGGCTTTCAACTCCGTCTCCAGGTTCCTCCGGGCAGAAACAGCAAATACAAACGCCTTCTCTCGTCCCCAGCAGGATATTCCACACTTTTGCCAGTAAGTCGCTACGCTTTTAATATTTTTTACCTTTAATTACGCCGCTAATACCACTTACAAGGTTACACATTGTCCACTGCCCTTCCTGAGCTGTACCAAAGGAGACCCCTGAATTCAGTGCAAAACTGCAGCTGACGAAAGCAGAGACATGTTAACACACGGACGGAGCAGAAGGGAAGAAGTAACAACGGTCGTAATAAAATACCACACTGGCATACAAGCTGAGCGAAAAAGGACCAGCTCTTAAAACGGAAACGAGGCAAACGACGCACACGACCGACTGCTCCCGGCACCCGTCCTCGGGCCCGGGCGTCCGGAGGAGGAACCCAACACGC